TGGGGGCCAATAATGCTATAAAGATGGCTCTGCTCTACATAAAGTCTTACCCCATCCTCCATAGAAAGACTACAGCCTTCATAATAATATACTCTCCAAAAACTTCTTCACCAGCTTGTTCTCAAGTCCCGCCTCTTTACATGTCATACTAGTCTCTTTTAATACCCTGTCGTTACCTATGCATACTTACCTCCGACATACGTCAAAGACAGAAACAGGTAAGTGCTTTAAAATAAGATTGCCTAGAAAACTATTGGTTGAATGCAAATTAGATAATAGAGTTCAGGAAGGAAATATAAGAAAGGAAACGACATAGTGACAAGCGAAGGTCAGACATCTATAAATAGCAACTGTCTCCGAATAAGGCATGTCAACAAAAGCTTAGGTCACACTGCTAACAGAGACAGTGTCAACACCGCTGACACGAACGTCCAATCTCACGAGCAATTATTTCTGGTAATTCGAATAACTGTTTATATATGTATAAGCGTATATATATATATATATATATATATATATATATATATATATATATATATATATATATATATATATATATATATATATAAAAGGTCATCAGACATCAATGAACGCATGATGTGCGAGCATTGGGCCCACTCGAGAGATTAGTTCCTCTGATTTAAGTTGATGGAGGTAAAACCATAGCAGACAGTAAATGGTTCACAACAGACATAATTCTGTCACATCAAACCTTCAGGTTGTTTTTTTTTTATAAATAAATCAATGAAAGTCAGTCTATCGAATCTTAAGTAATCGCCGTTGAGCTTGATGGTGATTAAGAAACGTAATAGTGAAACAAGCAGAACACATCATCTCTAAATGGGAAGAGTTGCACACACGAAGGCATCTGAAGACACCAACAGTGGAATTGACTAATTTAGTCTTACTGTTACTGGATAGAATAAAGCTATTTAGATTCCCTTTAGTTACCAGATGTCTGCATAACTTATACTTTAAAAAGACTATAGCCTACTTAATGTAGGTGTACTGATTTCAAAGTATATCTATGCTGATCAAAATTATTTGGGTTTGAAAGTTTTCAGTTGTCTGGGTCATCGCATGTAAACAACACAGCATGACAATATTGAGAAGAGGATTTACGTTGTAGTATACGTGGTTAATAATTGATAGTAAAACGATTCGTCGGATTTAAATATTTGTTTGTTTTTCTTCACTTTTTATTTACTCGTATACGAAATATAGAGGATGTCATCTTGCAAAAAATCGAAATCAAGATTTCGACAAGTAAGAAAAACAAGTAAGAAAAACTTTTCCTATTTTGCTTGTATATTTGTGTGTCTGTGTGTGTGTGTGTGTGTGGAGAGAGAGAGAGAGAGAGAGAGAGAGAGAGAGAGAGAGAGAGAGAGAGTCTGTCTGTCTGTGAACACGATAATGTGAGTACCATTTCAGTTATGTTGACGAAATTTCATATTAAGTATAATATCAAACTTGTAGTTTTGTACCAACTTTTGAAAGATTTCCGGTAAAGGAAAGTGGTATTTATTCTACTTCCGGTTCTAAAAAGCCAGTTACATGAGTATTGTTTCATTTAGATGAACGAAATTTCACAGAAAAGTATTACATTGTGCGCGCATGTTCCTATTGAATTTTGAATGTTTTCGGGTAACCGGAAGTGATGATTTACTCTATTTCCGTGTGTACCCTATAACGTGAATACTGTTTCAGTTAGGTTGACAAAATCTGATATACAAAATAAAATCTTTTTCTTAGATTACTAAAAAAAAATTTGAAGTAGTAGTAGTCTACAATAAACGGAAGTGGTACTTTCTTATATTTCTGGTTTCTGAAATATCGATAACCTGAGTACCGTTTCATTTAGGTATACATTCGTATATTTATTCGTACATTTATACATTCGTTTAAGATCGTATTCTCTTGATTCTTTCAAATTTTGAGTGATTTTCGGTGAACAGAAGTACTAGTTTAGACTATTTTGATTTGTTTCTGAAAAAAATATCATTTCTACTGGGCAGATTTCTTCAAAACTTTTCACGTAGGTCTAGACTCGATGACAATGCATTGCGACATAAAATTTGGCTGAATAAACGTTTATTTAAGTTTTTCCGCTCTATTATACACATATTGTTAACGTTCATTTGGTGTGCAACTCTTTTTTCTACGCGATTCTATTCTATTTTTTTTTAAATGTATTATTCGAGAACGTTAAGGGGTAACCACTCCCGCATTATTTTGTTTCTCAGACATGTCTTGCTGCTAGTTCATCATATGATAAGTTGCTCGCCGTCGGTTCCTCATTTTTAGAAACAGAAATTGAATTGTAATTGATAAAAGGCACACAGTTCGCACACTCCCCTGACCCTAGAATAACTACAATTGTAATAAAAAAAACTAATGTCTCATTTTTCATAACCCCATTCATATACAAATATATCTAGTCACAAAACTAGATTCCGTCACTTCAGGTGCATGAAGTCATATATGGACTTAAAACATGAAATGAGGTAATAAAGGATTGGAGAAGTAGATAAGGGCTAGTTGAAAAAAAGCCCACGTGACTTTAAGAGCTGTTATCTTGCTTTAATATAAGACCTTATAGACTGCAAGAAAATACAGTGCTATTATTTCATAACCAAACACAAGCCTATCGTACGAACACCATTGTCTTCAAGTAACTCAACAGAAGAGCAAAAATTCCCCACGAAAAACTTGCCCCCCCCCCCCCGCCCCTTTCTCACTCAAACTTCACTATGTCAAACCATTCTGTGATAATAGATTTGACGTTATCCATTGTATTACACGTACGTGAGGAGGAAAGACAACGTATACCACCTCACCACTCAACTTCCCTCGCTTCCACCCAACCCGACGTCTTTTCACAACACGATACTATTCGATACAATACACCATCTCTAACACTGATCCAAAGCATAAAGTACAATTATTTAATGCCCTACAAAATAGTGCCCCCTGTGCTAAACTTGAATCGAAAAGAAAAGAGGAAACTTATTTTTAGAAAGCAGGAGGAGAAAGCTTAACGAAAAAGGCGTCTTATATAGCCACTTTACAAAGCTCAAAAACACTTTTTATTATCATGGCACTAAATTTTAAAACAGTTATGGATCGTCCTCGGATAATGCTATCGATGTGTGCCAGACACGAACACATTCTGCTTGCTCGATTAGGTTTCTACACACACACAGACACACACACACACGCATGTTATATATATATATATATATATATATATATATATATATATATATATATATATATATATATATATATATATATATATATATATATATATATATATATATATAAAGAGGGGGCTCCTCTTTAAGGGGCTTGGGCTTTTGCTTTACCAATGTTGGCAACATTAGCAAAGGCATTATGTTTTGTGTGCTTTTTTTAAAATGTTACTCAACAAACATGTTCTATTTCAGTCCATCTATCTCTGATGGGTACCTGACTCGTGTCATAGAAAATAAAGACGTCGTGGCATAATGCTGACCACACTATCCTTGATACGACTAGGTCACAGAAACACGATGCTACGATATGTCCCACTGAAAACCCCAATCTTTAAACACGGGGAGATTGTGTGACCTGCTGTATACCTGAAGTATTATATTCTTAGGTTATGAGCCACTTGATTATTCTGAGTTTGCTTTCCTCGCTCGGCGATGGTCAAATGTAGGACATCTATTTCAAAATGGACAAAATGGCTTTTGGCGCATTAGTATATTATTTTACTAAAGTACCCAGATTTTAAAATATTTTCCTGTAAATTGCATCTATTTTAACATTTAATATAATTTGCACTAATTTTGTATGTTTACGAGTTCGTGCGCGCATGTGCGTGTGTGTGCGCGCGCGTAGGTGCGCCTATAAATATTAAAACAGAATATTACTAACAGGTTATCAAATAAGCTGCATCTATTGTATCGCATTCAGTTACATTCAGTTACAACATCTAGTGTTGTCGACTGTTGACTGAGTAGGTCTTACAAACTGCATGCATTTCACAAATAAATGTCTTTTTTAAAGGTGTAACGGCACATTTTCTTCAATGACATTCACCAGGAATTCGGTGACAAAGCCTACAACATGCCCAGATCTAAGCAAAGAAGAGAATGGTGAGGGTGTTTACATGAAGGTGTCAAGTAAAAACGTTTTAACGCCCAGTTTAAAAACGCTCAGGAAAACTGTCAGCCACAGTTTAATTGGTCAAACATGTTAGAAGCACGTCAAAGCATATTTAACGTTTCTACATGCAGTCTCTTTTCGGCGAATACATTCAGTTTTGTCTCAACTAACTGATTTATATGAAATCAATCTGTCCTGCCGGCCCACAAAGTATGAATTAATTGTGAACACTATTTATTTAATGTATTTAATATCCATGTTAATCAATGGCTATTGTTTTTTCTAATAATTGACTGTTAGTTTTGAGGTACTGATAGGGTTCTATTGATTAAATAACCTGCTTATGTTAGGCGTATAAGCTTAATATAAGAGTTGTGTAAAATTGTGTAGCTTAGACATGCTAATTGATTACTAGATAGAAAGGTAGGCCTTACATAACGGTTCAACAGAATGTAGGTCACTTTTGTTTGTCTTACAAAAATGTTTTCGTCTGCAAAAGGTCTAAGAACTAGCTTTATATTGTCTTATTTTACGTTAAAAAGTCCTGTATCTTTCAACCAAATTCTCAAATAAAATCCTAACCACACTTCACGGTCGAGTCTACAACAGCATTCATCTATAGTATAGATTTGATAGCTATTATAATGTTAATTTGAAAAGCTATCAGACTAAATCTTAACCACTTGGTTCATGAAATGAGGAGAGCGGCTATATACTATTTATATACCATTAAACGCAGATCAAAAGTAGCATTAACGTCATGCATAGCCTAAGTAATAACAATATATTAGGAAGTAAAATAAGAGTAGCCAAAGTGCTTAATTCTAATCACATAATAAAACTTGACTTACCAAAGTTCAACGAATACTAAATGGAGTCAGCCTGAGAAAACATTACACTAGGTTTGTACTGCAGTCCATGTCAACCCATTCTCACACTAGCTAGTCAGTTACTTGCACTGACTAATCATACGAATTGTGTCGCGTGTCATTTGCATAAACCAAAGCTTGTTATATAAACAATTTCGTCATGCTACCATCTTTGGAAATAGTCGACTGTTTCAAGGAAATGTAATGTTCATGTCGTGTTTACATCAGTCGAAATAAATAACAAGGAAGCTCTGTTAACTGGGTTTCAAAACTAATTGTTAAATGTCAAAGCTACAAATTAAAGGTAAGTTTCTTGATGGCCAAGAACCGGTGTCAAACGAAAGCTACAAGTGCTAGAGTATATTCCACTGTGTGTATCAACTCGACCTACAGAAAAAGTAAACACCAGCGACACGCACTGTTGTTCCAGACGGCCCTCAGGCGTCACAAGCTCAAAAAATGGAAGTGTGGGTCCTACACTACCTGCAGCGCGATGGCTTAGACTAGGCAATCCCCGCAGTGTCTACCATCCATCTTTTTTTCTCTCTCTATCTGTCTGGGCCGATAATGGTGCTGGAACTCACGGCTAGCCCTATCTCGCGGCCCTCTGCCTGATGTACTATCTATCTTCTTTCGTCTCCACCCAATCAGCAACTACTACATCTTCACCTCTGTGTGTAACATATTGTCTGTTCTCTCACCCTGTCATCGCTAGTCTCACTGCTCCTCCCCGTTCTGACCACTGTCACAGCTATCCCTCCCCATTACTACCGGCACATCGTGGCTATGTTCACTTCTATCGCTCTCCGTCCTATTATTATTGTTTCATGTTTATTGTGTTTATTGAATTCTCTATTCATCCCTGTTTCTGCTGTTGTCACTTCTGCTCCTCCCCCTTTATTGCTGTTGTCACTTCTGCTCCTCCCAATTATTGCTGTTGTCAATTCTGCTCCTCCCAATTATTGCTGTTGTCACTTCTGCTCCTCCCAATTATTGCTGTTGTCACTTCTGCTCCTCCCAATTATTGCTGTTGTCACTTCTGCTCCTCCCAATTATTGCTGTTGTCACTTCTGCTCCTCCCAATTATTGCTGTTGTCACTTCTGCTCCTTCCTATTATTGCTGTTGTCACTTCTGCCCCTCCCAATTATTGCTGTTGTCACTTCTGCTCCCTCCCAATTATTGCTGTTGTCACTTCTGCTCCTTCCTATTGTTACTGTAGTTACTTAACTTTCACTGCATTCGAAGAGGTAATTGTAATTTCAGTCTTTTCACATTATTGATATTATCATTTTCCCTCCAAGTTTTACATTTCCCTCCACCATTATTGCCTTTTTCATGTTCTCTACGGCTATATGATATTACCCCCCCCCCCCGTCAATTACCCCCACCCCCGTATTTACCCCCCCCTGAGCAATTACCCCCCCCCCCCCTCCCAAGTTAGAATCCTAACTCTAACTCAAATTACCTTAACTTAAGGAAAAAAAAAACCTAAGTATTCACCTCAGCCTAAAAACTTAACACAAAACCATCTCTAGACATTGGTTTAAACATAATCTTGACCATAACACTAACCCTAATCCTAGCCCTGACCCTAACCATAACCCTACACCCTAGCCCTAACCCTACCCCTCGCCCTAACCCTAGCTGTACCGCTATGTCGGGTGGGGGGGGGGGCAGAGGCGTAGCGAGGGGGGCGGGGGGGACATATGTCCCCGGGCGCCGACCTTAGGGGGGGGCGCCAAATTGAAAGTTTGAGGGGGTGCAAATAAAAAGTTCGAGGGGGGGTGCAAACCAAAAGTTTGTCCACGGGCGGGGGGGGGTAATGTCCTACTGGGCGGGGATAATTGATAGGAAGGGGGGGGGGTAATTACTCCTGGTTTATGTCGGGGGATGTCCGGGAGTAATTGATGGGAAGGGGTAATGCCCTGTTCCCGTTCACTACTAATTGTTGCTAGAATCACTTGCTCTCCGATAGATTTAATTTTCATTTCACTAACCCTGCCCAATATTACTAGTTCTTTAGCACTGTGACTTGTCAGTTTGCACCCCAAATGTTGTCACTTTTCCTCCCCGCAGTCGACATTGTCACAGTCCGGTCCCTACTCCTCCAACGATTGCTATTGTAACTTTGGAGCTCCCCATCTTGACTATTGTCACCTCTGCCCCACCACACAGCCGATACCGTCCAAATAGCGGCCTCCACCTACCAAACAGCTCTGACTGGTAAATTAAAGTTTAAAGGAACACGTGACTTCTAGTTGACCTGACCCTGTAAATGTGATCTGTTTTGCAGCCACAAACACCGAGACAGGCTAGACGCGAGCCGTGATGCAATTGCGTGATGACGGTAGTTAATGTTGCTACAGGAGGATCTAGAGCTGAATCTTCATGAACAGGTTGCTTCTGTATAGGGGAAATATATCTGATGCCACAAATATCATGCGCGAAAGACGAAACTCAATGTGTAGGGACAAAGCTTGCGTGACGACTTAGAGATTTTTTTATTACAAACTTGGAAAGACGTTTCTTTTTAAATTTTCAGTTTTATATATGTGACAGTAATATTTTCTACTACCCTTAGGGTATACTTTCAATAGGCAGCTTAATCTTTTAGATCCATATTTCAGGGGGAAAAGCTTAAGATTTAAGATAGTCTTCATAATAATATACCTAGATTAGTTTGCAACGGTTTTTTAACAAAAATGAAATTATCAAACTCTGGGTAAAATTACTACAGCTAGAAACAAGATCCCCTATTTAATACTTGGCCATACCCCTCCTCCCCCTAAACTGGCCTAAATCCAGTCAGAAATAATGTTAAAGAACAGGGTCAGAAAATATTTCAAGACAAAGAACAGAAAATAATCCTAAGCAAAAAAAAAGAGTTAGAAAATTGACAAGAAGAAGAACATGGTTAGAAAATAAACCGGGAGTGATCTCCCCTAAACTTTCTCGAATATTCTAATATAACACTACAGGGGATGGCAACTCGGGATATAGACTTCTAGACATGATTTTTAATCTATTTTAAATACTCACATTTCTTAAAATAGAATATAATCTCGTAGAAAAAAGAAATGCACACCAAGTGAACGCTAAATAAAAAAGCGCATAATAGTGCGCAATATTATTAGTACTTTATAAATTTACATGCGTTTTTTGAGAAATCGGAAATAGCGTAAATAAGTACTTCCGGTCAACGGAAATTACTCAAAATTTGACAGAAGGTAGAGAATTAGCTCTTTTACTTACATATCAAATTTCATTTGACTATCTGAAATAGTACTCAAGTTATAGGCTTTTGAAAAATTCAAAATAAAAAAAGTACCACTTCCGGTTATCGGAATTCGCTCAAAAGTTGATACGGATCTGCGATTTTGATAAAATACTTATATATGAAATTTCATCAACCTAGCTGTAACGGTACTCAAGTTATCGTGTTTACACACGGACACACAGACACACACACACACAGACATACGGACAAGATTGCAAAATTATGTTTTTCCGTATCAGTGAGGTGTAAAACGTCGAGATTTGTAAAAATCTCGATTTTTTTTTTTTGCACGATTACAATACTTTCTCTATACTACGTATATACGAGAAAGTAAAAAAGTAAAAGCAAAAAAAAAAAAAAAACAAGACAAGACAAAGAATGGGGACAAAAAATAAAGCAAGTCTAAGGTCGAATTTTGTTTTTGTTGTTATTTTTTTTAAAGGGAGGGGGGGGGGAAGAATAGGAACAGTAAAGAAAATTATGGGAATGAACAGTCAAAATAAAATTCACAGGAAAAACTGATTGGAAACAAATAAGGGGAGAATAAAAAGGGTGGGGGCAGATGAAGTACAGTTCACCTGACGTGAGTTGTATAGTCAGCACTTTCATAAACAATGTAGGGCCTTGGGCTTGACAACGACGTCCAGTTTTTTTAGAGCATTTATAAGGCAAGTTCCAGTTTAGTGAATTATTTAGTAACATGTTGCTTAACTGCGAAATATTTTAAAATTTTACCACAGAGATGGGATTACATTCAAGAATGTTACGGATCATTTATGTTTCAATTATTATTTATAATCAAGCAATCAGATTTGATTATGTCCCACTCCATACAAATCTACCTCTTCATTATTAGCCACATATGTCCGAGTGCCTCCCCTCCTCATACAGTAGTCGGTAAGTTCTAAGCTCTTCGCTAAAGGTAAACGTGGGGTCAACAAGCCTGCGTTACACGGGGTCAGTAGACGCCTGTTTTTTTTTTCACCTGGTAAATTCCTAAGTTCGGTGATTTCCCTTGATTCTGGGTTTTTTATTTGGTGACCTGTTTGTTTAATGATGAAGTCATACATAAGATGGCCGATGATGGTTCTGCTTATACATGTGTTCGATTAGGGCTTTTTACAAGCTTTTATTTAACTTGCTTCCTCTATCTGTCTGTCGACAGTCTGTCTGTCTATCTGTCGTCATAGATCGAAACGCTCGACCAAAATTTCGGGCACTTCTGACAGATTCGGTTCAAAGTTGACACGTGAGTCAAGATATGAAGACAATGCAATCTGACATTAAATTTGACTTAATTAATTTTTTATGAATTGATTAAAATTGTGTCCAATTTAGTAGGCAGGATACGATTGTAAATTTTAAAAATTTAAAGTACTGACAAAAAAATTCATAAAAAACGTTTTAATAGCAAGCTTTTATGTTTTAATGCATTAAAAAGTAGAAAATAAACGACACTACTATTTAAATAGCTATAAAGAAAAGCGTGGGTCTCTTCCTAAATATTAGTAAGGGTATCCAATATTTTTGTTTATGTATTGAATGAATGAGCTAATCTTTCCCCACTAGACCTACACATTTTGAGCTGATTTCCCCTGTACGCCGTGCGATTCTTCAAACAGTGAGTGCCATAGGTCGGTCTGTACGCCCTCTGGCGATAACATATTTATATACGGTCTCTAACATGGCTATTTTAATCTTAGCCTGATACTAAAATTCACACCAAGTTTAAAAATAAATTAACCTAATTCCTGTAAAGTTTGATATATTTTTGTTGTTGCTGTTAATGATTATAATAAACCGGGAGTGATCTCCCCTAAACTTTCTCGAATATTCTTATATAAAATAAAAGGGGATAGCAACTCGGGATATAGACATGATTTTTAATCCATTTTAAATAGTTAAAGTTTTAAAAATAGAATAAAATCTCGTAGAAAAAAGATTGCACACCAAGTGAACGCCAAATAAAAAAGTGCATAATAGTGCGCAATATTATTAGTACTTTAAAAATTTACATTAGTTTTTTGAGAAATCGGAAGTAGTGTAAATTAGTACTTCCGGGCAACGGAAATTACTCAAAATTTGACAGAAGGTAGAGAATTAGATCTTATACTTACATGTGAAATT